GGGCGCCCAGCGAGGGCCATCGGGCTGTGGGGAAGGGCTGGGTGGCACTGGCGTGGTGGAAAAGCATGTTGGCGTGCCGTCACCGATGCAATGCCGGGCATGGGAGCGGGCTTCCCCACCCAAGGGTGCTCGGCTCAGCGCCTCGCTGGGGCCCCTCTCTGCGCTCACCCGGTGCCTGCGGTTGCATCCCCGGGATGCGCCCCAGCAATCCAAAGAGACAAATTTCAGCTCCAAAGCATTTGTGAGTTACTTTGCCATGCCAGCACATTCCCCCCTTCTCGTGTTTTAAGCAGGAAACACAAAAATTAATGTAACGACGCCTCTGTTTGGCTTAGGACCTGAGACTGGAGGGAATTAAATCACAGCAAGGTCCCTTCACCCCCCATGGCAGGAGGCTGCCGGATTACTGTAACTCCCAGCAGGAGCCCCCAGCTACAGTGAAAAGCCAGCGGCGGTCGGCGCCGGCTCCCGCAGGGCGCTGGGAGAGGGAGCGGAGCTGCGTCAGTCCGTGCGGAAGGAGCTTTTCTCATTTCACTTTACAGATTTCCAGCTAATTATATTTTCTGAGGCGCAGCTGCATCCACTGGGCAGGCAGAATGCACTTGCTGCCTTGTTCCCAGCTGGGATCGGGGTGGGGGCCGGGGGTGCCCCCGGGGTGCTCGTGGTTGACCCCCCCAGGGCAGCTAGCGCAGACCCAGCGTGGCTCTGGGGAGGTTCTTGGCAAAAAACTTGAAGAGTTAATAAATTTGGGACAGTGACCATCTGCTGGCGGGTGATTCCCAAGCAACCGGTGAAAGCGATTGGCCGCAGTGAATGCCTTACGTCTTCCTACACAATTTCCTAATGGGAAGCCCGGCCGGGTCGGATGCCGAGGCGGGCGCTGCCGGGCTGGGGGTGCACTCTGCTGTCCCTGACCGGATCTGTCTGCCACCAGCCGAGATCGGGGACTACGACCCGGGGAAGCACCCGGAAGGCTACAGCTCCAAGTTCCAGTTCTTCCCCAAACACTCGGAGAAGCTGGAGAGGAAAATTGCAGAGATCCACAAGTCGGAGCTGAGGTACGGCCGGGGGCTTCGCTGCGGTAGGGGTTGCTGATGCTCGGCTGATTTTTACCCCTCCTTGGGCTCTCGTCGTGCCGCAGGGCGAGCACCCAGGGCCCTGCTCTGTCAGACCCCGCTGAGACCGCGACGCTCCTGGCAGCGCTGGTTAAAAAACCCCCGCAGAGCAGCACAGGTTTGGGAGAGCAGCGGTTGGGGGGGATGGGGGCATCCCAACACATCGGCCTGCCAGAGGAGCTGCCGTGTCCCGCCAAACCTCTGCTCGCCGAAGGGCAGACGTCACCGAGCGGCCAAGAGCAGAAAGTGCAGAGAAATAAAAAAAATACAGTGGCAACGTGGAAAAACCAGCCCAGATCCCCCCTGCTCCTGGCTGTTGGCTCAGCTGGCACAGCCTGGGGGGATCCCTGGCCCTCCCGGTAGGATGGGGGCAGTGACCAGCCCCCC